TTTTAAAGTTTAAGTTGTTTAAGTTTAAATTGTTTAAGTAAGTTGTTTAAGTTTAAGTTTAAGTAAGTTTAGTAATTAATGGGACTGTGAGGCATGGCTGTAAAAATGGAGCCGGGCTGCCAAGTGCTCGGAGTGCTGTCATGTGACTGCTTGCGGGAAGTGCGACTGTCAGAACTTCAAATCCGGGTCTTAAGTTCTTCTTTTTTTTCCCCGGATTGCTCGTAACTTGAAGTGGTCCCTAAGCCCACCCGTCGTAAGTCGAGGATTATCTGTGTCCCATACCTCATCCTCTAACTGTATTTCAACTCATTAGACTGAATTCTGTATTCTTCACCAATTCTGTATTCTTAACCATTCTTAACCACTGACCTTTTGAAGAGACTGGACAGCTATTTGTCCGGAATGTATCTCCTGCTCAAGAATGGGGTTGGACTAGAAGACCTCTAAGGTCCCTCCCAACTCTCCTGTTATTCCATTCAATTGGAGAGAATATATGTAGCTCACAGATGAACTGGGGAGTCCTTGGTTCTCTCTGAACTGGGCATATATTTTGTAATTCTGGTGCTATATTGTCCTTCCTAAACACAGGAAGCTTAATAACTTTAAAATATGTGGACTTCAACTCCCAGAAATACCCAGCCACCATGCGTGGACTTCAACTCCCAGAATTCCCCAGCCAGCCTGCATGGATTTCAATTCCCTGAGCTGGCTGGGGAATTCTGAAAGTCGAAGTTCACGCATGGTGGACTGCAACTCCCAGGATTCTCTGGGGTCCACCAAGCTGGCTGAGGAATTCTGGGAGTTGAAGTCCACAAGTCATAAAAGGGCCAAGTTTGAAGACTCCTGACATGATGTGAGGGGGAAATAATGCTAACTCAGAAAGAGCTAAACTGGTGTTTCTCAACCTCGGCCATTTTAGAGGTGTGGACTTCAACTCCCAGAATTCCTCAGCCAGGCATGCTGGCTGAGGAACTCTGGGAGTTGAAGTCCACAAGTCATAAAAGGGCCAAGTTTGAAAACCCCTGACATAATGTGAGGGGGAAATAAGGCTAACTCAGAAAGAGCTAAACTGTGTTTCTCAAGCTCGGCCATTTTAAGAGGTGCCTCAGCCAACATGTCTGGCTGAGGAACTCTGGGAGTTGAAGTCCACAAGTAATAAAAGGGCCAAGTTTGAAGACCCCTGACCTAATGTGAGGGGGAAATAATGCTAACTCAGAAAGAGCTAAATTGGTGTTTCTCAACCTCGGCCATTTTAAGAGGTCTGGACTTCAACTCCCAGAATTCCTCAGCCAGCGTGCCTGGCTGAGGAACTCTGGGAGTTGAAGTCCACACGTCATAAAAGGGCCAAGTTTGAAGGCCCCTGCCCTAGAAGATTCTTCCTATGTGATCCTGAGAAATTAAAAGCCATTTTTCCTCTTTGTAGTTGTTTGATCGGGAGCTTTGCGTCCGCCAGCTGAGATATTCCGGGATGATGGAAACCATCCGGATCCGCAGGGCGGGCTATCCAATCCGGTATACTTTTGTGGAATTTGTCGACAGATACCGAGTTCTGATGCCGGGGGTCAAACCCGCCTACAAGCAGGTAGAGATGGATAATCCTATTTAAACCACACACAAAAACCCACCATTCCTTGCCAGCCACTTCTGTTGCTAAGCGAGACATTCGTTAAGTGAATTTCGCTCCATTTTCTTGCCACGTCTGTTAAGCGAATCCCTGCAGTTGTTAAGTTAGCAACCCGGTTGTTAAGTGAATCTGGCTTCCCCATTGACTTGGCTTGTCAGAAGGTCGCCAAAGGGAGATCACGTAACTCCCCCGGGACATTGCGACCGTCATAAATATGAGTCAGTTGTCCGAATTTTGATCACGTGATGCTGCAACGGTCGTAAGTGTGAAAAACGGTCATCAGTCCCTTTTTCCAGTACCGCTGAAACGTCAAACGGTCACTAAGCGAACCGTTGTAAGTTGAGGACTTCCCGTATCTTCAAGAGTCACCCTGTAAGTGCTCTTAATTACCTAGATAAAATACAAGTAGCCCTCGGCTTGCGACTCTAATTGAGATAGCAATTAAGCGATTGTAAGTCGGGCTGGCTGTTAAGCAGGACATCCCACGCCTGCTTTTACGACCTTTTCTCGTGGCTGTCGTTAAACAGATGGCATCTTTCGTGAAGCAAATCCACGATTCGCTGTGTGTGCAGCTTTTTGGCTTTCTGTATTCCTGTCAGAAGCACCTCCAAATTATATTTGAATGGAATGAGCAAATTAAATAGGTATAAATAGGACACTGAAATGTAAAGTGCAGTGAGTCCTCAACTTACAGCACTGGAATTTTTTAAGAAGAGACTGGACAGCCAATTGTCTGAAATGGTATAGGGTTTCCTGCCTGAGCAGGGGGTTGGACCAGATGACCTCCAAGGTCCCTTTCAACTTTATTACATATTATTATTATTATTATTATTATTATTATTATTATTATTATTATTATTATTATTATTATTATTATTATTATTATTATTATTATTATTATTATTATTATTATTATCACTTAACAGCCGTGTGACTAATTTAATGACTGCATTGATTCACTTAATAGAGGTGGAAAGAAAAGTCGTAAAATGGGGCTATCCTCATTTAAGAAATGTCTCACTTAACAACGTAAGTTTTCGGCTCCATTGTGGTCGTGAGCCGAGGACTCCCTGTACTGTATCATATCCATAATTGTGTTTATTTTCCTTTTTAAGATTGTCTCTTGGCCTTTCTTTTCGTTTTTGCTTCTTGCCCTCAACCCAGCTTTCTGTAATCAAGAGGACTAGCAACTTGGCTTTCGTTCTTCCAGAAGTAAACACCGTGTTTAATGATCAAAATATTGCTCAAAAGGCAGCTCCATGACCACCGGGGGAAGCCAGATTCGCTTAACGTTCATGTGATTCACTTAATGTCGTCTGTGATTTGCTTAACCACAGTGGCAAAATAGTCATAAAATGGGTGCGATTCACTTAACACCCCCCCCCCGCTTTGCTTAGCAACAGAAATTCTAGCCCATGCTGAGGTTGTAAGTTTGAGGACTACTGGCACGTTCATAGACTTGTACTGTTGGAAGGGACCTCAGTGGTCATCTAGTCAACCCCCACCCCGCCACTTGGTGCAAGCTTTGAAATCTGTTCTCACTCATTTCTTCCAGGGGGATCTGCATGGAACCTGTCAGCGCATCGCTGAAGCTGTCCTGGGCAGAGATGATGACTGGCAGATTGGCAAGACCAAAATCTTCCTAAAGGTACGGTGGCCGATTATTTCAAAATAAGATCAGATTTCAGGAAGCAGGAAAAAAGAGAAGCGGTGCCCACTGAATAACAGAGTTGGAAGGGACCTTGGAGGTCATCTATCTAGTTCAACCCCCCGTTCAGGCAGGAAACCCTATACCATTCTAGACAAATGGCTGTCCAGTCTCTTCTTAAAAACTTCCAGTGTTGGAGCATTCACCACTTCTGGAGGCAAGTTGTTCCACTGGCTAGAATAGAATAGAATAGAATAGAATAGAATAGAATAGAATAGAATAGAATGGAATGGAATGGAATGGAATGGAATGGAATGGAATGGAATTACAGGATGGAATAGAATAGAATAGAATAGAATAGAATAGAATAGAATAGAATAGAATAGAATAGAATAGAATAGAATTACAGGATGGAATAGAATAGAATAGAATAGAATAGAATAGAATAGAATAGAATAGAATAGAATAGAATAGAATAGAATTACAGGATGGAATAGAATAGAATAGAATAGAATAGAATAGAATTACAGGATGGAATAGAATAGAATAGAATAGAATAGAATAGAATAGAATAGAATAGAATAGAAT